GTCTATGCATACAAACAACAGAAATATAAAGAATACAGGAAAGCTGCAAGTTAGTCTGATCAAGTAACAACACAACCCCATGCATTAGTAATCCAAGGTAAGAGTTCTGATTATAAGCAACAAGTAAGTTGCATTCTCTGAAAGAGGAAAAGGGTTCACATCTGCAGTTTGATATTTTCTGGCTGCAGAATCCTTAAGTGGAATAATCTGGAAGGATGTACGTGGAAGCAGCAGTAATATAAACATCAAGTGCTAGGAGGTTATCTTAGCAGGTTCCATTCTTTTTAATGAAAGTTGGAGCTGAGTAATTCCCAACTAGTGGAGTATCAAAACTTGCTTCAAGAATAAATCACTTTCTGTCTGTATGCCTCTTATTGGTAAGGATGCATTTGAGTACAACATTGTAACAGGCACAAGTCTTTGTGGTCTTATATATTTTTGCAATATTAATCCACTAGCAGGAAAAGTCACACAAAGCCAAGAGCATAAAGGAAGGTGCAGATATTCCAGTACTCACCTCTCCTTTCTCATTTCCCTAAAAATAAGCATAGTGCTCAGTTGAGACATCTAAACATTTCCACATATCATACATACAAAAGCAACAAAACTGCTGACAGAACAGATGGCTGGGGGGGGGGGGGAAAGAAAAATATTGATCAACACAGGATATGCAGCAAATTGTACCTTCCTGAGTTGTCACGTTTGCTATAAATTTTCATGTTCCCTATGATGTCTATTACAGCTACATGTGGCATTTAACATAGGCGATGAGGAAAACCCATGAGGTGACACTATATAGCCAGCTGAAAATACATATTTTGCCTTTTCAGCTTTCCTTCATTTTACTTAATGGCATTTGCCCATTGTTACCTGTTACTGTAAAAGATGTCCACCAAACAAAACAAATGAGCGAGTTATTCAAAGGCACAAATGTGCAACCATTTAACCATTCATGGAAAAGACATTGACATATTTTGATTCCTATGATATATTGCTATCCACTACACTGTAGCAATATGTACCAGATGTATTCCTGAGAGACAAATAACAGTTCAACCCCAACCATTCTGAACAAGTACTAAGACAGACTGAACTCAAGGATATTTACTTTTGAGTAAAGTGCATATTATTGTGGTATAAAGAGCCCAGAGTTATCTGTGTATTTATACTAACAACCTGCATTTTTGTTTGATATTGATTGTTCTAAACAGCTAATACCATCTTTCCGTTAACTTTTCAGTTATAAATCTTCTACATGGGAAATTCTACATGTATTTCATTCTGACATATCTGAGTAACCCTAATATAGCAAATGAAGTGCAAAATTCTTCTGGATAATAAAATTCTTCCAAGACAATACATCTTTTAAAACAATGTATTAATACATCTTTTTAAAAGATGTATTGAAGTAAACAAAGATCTGCCAATCTCCAAAATGAGTCTTTTGACTATATTTTGAAAATTCAAAGCAACAGGAAATGCCTTGGGCTCATTTTCCATTATCTTACTGAAATGCAAGGCAAAATGCATATTTTATTGTTTAACAACAAGGAGAAACACAATTAAAAATATAGTCATCTGTGAAACTGGAATAACTTGGTCCTTAATATCTTTTTTTAAGCATTCAAAAATGTTATTGTTTGAACAAAGCTTTCAAGTTTACATTTAACAGAAAAGGGTCTTCATTCTTTCTGTTTTTGAGCAAAGCATCCCCTTGCCAAAAAATTTTTTAAAATAATAAATGCTTGTTCTGTATCACATTTAAGGATATTTAAAACAATGATTTATCAGTAGTTCATGTGCAACACCTAAAAGTGTATTTTACACACCATTTAGCAATAAACATGTTCGCACTAACCGGAGTTGTCCATACAGAAACAAAAGAGTGCTATGCCATGTGTGACAAAAATGCCAATTGAGTCACGGTAGCCAAAAGACTGCTATTGAAATGGTCAAATTCCAGCAATTTTAATCCAACAGGTCTAAAACATGCCGTATTTATTTATTTATGTAAGCATAAAAATGTGTTATTAAAAATATTCATTTATTCTCATTTGGCAAGGAACTTAGAACAAAAATATGGACAATTCTAAACAATTCTATTTCTAGATATTTACACTTCCCCACCCTCAAACCAGTATCTCTACTGGTTATCAGCTATTTTGAAAGGTTGAATAAGGGGAATTTGTTTTCGTGAAAGAATTATTGAAGAAGCCATCTCTCCTCTCTCTCTCTCTTTCTCTTTCACTCTATGTGTGAAATTGAATTACAGGAAATATTCTTTGGAGCGATTTACACCACAGCTGTGAATCAGGTTTCTCTTGGATAAACTTATTTCTTTTTTCATTTTTTTCTCATTCATACATAAATTCAATTTGTACTAAATGTGGTTATATTTGTTTCCATCCTGTACAATGGGAGTTAATTTTTTCTCATTCATACATAAATTTAATTTGTACTAAATGTGGTTATATTTGTTTCCATCCTGTACAATGGGATGGATTTATAAATCATTCTAGCACCCTAAAAATCAGGGTAGCATTTATAAATCAATCTAGCACCCTGAACAACAAAATGTGCTTTTTAAATATATATATTTAATTCTCCTTTCTCTTCCTTTTAAAAAATGCAGCTAATTCTTACAGCACTATCTTATAAAGATTATAACGAGTCACAAATAGGAATTGCATCAGTGTGTTGCATTCTGAGAAACAACTGATATTGAACGCGTAAGACACATTCTCAGCTCTGTGTCTTGTAGCATCAAATCCTCACTGCACCTTCTGTTCTCATTCCTGGTCTCTTTAATTACAAAGACAAGTGCCAAACGATAATGCTTTTTGTTCGATTTTCATATTTCTTTGCACTAGATGCCTAATGAAAGGGTTTTGCAGCAACAGGAAATGACAAGAGACTCTCCTTTAAGAGAAAATGAACAATTTCATTAAATAAAATATAGAGGTTTAAATTATTATAGTTTGGGGGGAAAAGTGTTGCTATTTACCCCAGAATGACAAAGGCTGAAGGAAACGAGCATGTGATGACAGCGCAACATGCCAACTCAAGCCAGGCTCGGTTTAGCCCTTCTAAAAAGGCAAGCTATTCCAAGCCCAGTTTCTGCTTAACTTTCTCCTGTTAGTCATGAGGGCAAGAGGAGCTGAAAGCATGGAAACGGGAGCACAGAAAATTGGTGGCTAATTGGGTTAGCTAACAAGCTGATCGGCTCAACTAGATGGCTATCGTGAGGATTTTTCTTCCTTTCTATACCAAGTGAACTCAGACAGTCTCTTTTGTACCAAGCTGGTGTGAGAGAGAATGTGTTTTCTTTATTCTTACACAAAAAATATCTTAAAAGAGAATGATTCACACTAAGATGCCTGAATTAGAACGATTGCTTCGATTTCATCTATATAAATAAAAATGTAATGTTCGTTTGTGGGACTAACATAACTCAAAAAGCACTGGACAAATTGACACCAAATTTGGACACAATACACCTATTAGGCCAATGAATGACCATCACTCATAAAAACTGAAAAATACAGCAGAAGAGACTTAAAAAGCCAAAAAAGAGCAAATACATTACAACACATGCGCAAAACCACATATATGAATGACCATCACTCATAAAAACTGAAAAATACAGCAGAAGAGACTTAAAAAGCCAAAAAACAACAAATACATTACAACACATGCGCAAAACCACATATATACACAAACACACATATATGCACATATATATACACACACAAAGCACACAGAAAAGAAGAATGGAGGAAGGAAGGAGAAAAAGGGAGAGAAAGAGGGAAAGGAGGAGGGAAGGTGAGAAGGAAAGAAAGGTAGAGAAGGAATGAAGGAGAGAAGGAACAAAAGAGAGAAAGAGGGAGGGAGGGAAGGAAGGAAAGAGACAAGGAAGGAGGAAGCGAGGAAAGAAACAGGCAGAGAAGGAAGGAAGAAGAAGGGAAAGAAAAAGAGGGAGGGAGGGAGGGAGGGAGGGAGGGAGGGAGGGAGGGAGGGAAGGAAGGAAGGAAGGAAGGAAGGAAGGAAGGAAGGAAGGAAGGAAGGAAGGAAGGAAGGAAGGAAGGAAGGGGGAGAAAGCGGGAGGGAAGGTTGGCCACAGCAACGTGGTGAGTACAGCTAGTCACCAAATAAGAACATTCCTCCTTTTGACTGTCTCTAGTGAAGAGTCAAACAATGAGCTCCTATTGTTGTGATTGTCATTATTATTATTATTTCTGCCTTCATTTTGGAAGGGGCAAGTTTCATGCTAATAGCGTCCTGCTGCTTCCAGAGGCTCTGTCGCATTCAGGCCAGAGAAAGCCAGAGAAAGCAAACACTGCGGGAGCTACATTTCCCCGACGCTGCCTTCAATCTCGCCTCGCTTTGCAACGGGATGCTACCTTGAAGATGCTCAGCTGCCTTATATAGCTTTTTAGCACAGTCAAACACACACACACAGCTCAGCTCTGATTCTTGCACATGCGTGGATGCTTGGTAAAAGGAAGAGGGGGGGGGAACCACATTAAACAAACCCCGGAACTGTCAAAACATTCATGTTTTGCATCCAGGTTGCAATGAGCAGAGGAGGTGGATTGGGAACTAATTTAGACTGTGGTTTGTTTGGTTTGGGGTATTGAGGAAAGGAGAGGCAGGCTCTGAAACGAATGTATAAGCAAAGCTCGATGGGGCTAAAATAGCCGTTGAAGTCACCGGGGGGTGGGAGTGCAACTAGAAACTTTCCCCTGATCGCTGCTGACCCGGCTGGGGAAGGGCTATTTCGAGCTCCTGGCTGGCAGGCATCTATCTCCTCCAATTTCTCAAATGGACGCTGATTCGGAGGCCCTTTGTATAAGGCCCAACAACGCCCAATACTACTTTATTCCCACCCCGCTTCGGGACGCTTTCTTGGGCTTCCATCCCCGCGCGACTTCCCCTCGCTCGCCTGGCCTTTTCGGGTTCCCAGCGTGCCCCTTTTCCCCCGAACCCGAGAGGGGACTTACGTAGTGGCCGACGGGAAAGGCCCTTCCGCCGAGACGGGGCTGACGACCCAGATCTGTCCGAGGGTCAGGCCGAAGGCGATGAAGAGCCCCCAGCCGACGCCAGGAGCCATCTTCCCGATCTCCCACAAGTGCCAAAGGGAGGGCAGGGAGGGCAGGCAGGCAGGAGAAGACTGGCGAGGCCGGTCAGGAGGGGGAAAGTTTAAAAAAGGGAGAGATAGAGAAACAAGAGGTCGAGCACAGCCTCCTCCCGCCGCTGCTTTCGCTCTCTCTCTCTCTCTCTCTCTTCCCACGGCGAGCCACAGGCAGCTTTATGGAAGGAGGGGAGGAGACGGGGAGGGAAAGGGATGGGTGGAGAAGGGAGGAAGGAGAGCAAAAGAGCGAGGGGAGACCCAGCTACGCCGGCTGTCGGGCGACTTTTGTAACCGATCTTAGGAGTGTGTATGTGTGTGTGAGAGAGAGAGAGAGGGGGGGGAGGGTGCGTGGCCGGGTTGATTCCCGGGAGGGAGGGCGGAGCCGCCCATCCCCAAAGACGAGGCAATGGGAGGGCACTCCCGGGGTTGCCGCCGGCTCGCCACGCCTCCCGCCCGAGGAGAGAGGCACGCGCCAGGCTTCCCGGAGGAGCCGAGCCCTGGCTGGAAAGGAAGGCGGTGGTGGCCCAAGCCTGGCTCCTCGTCCCCGGCGGGCGGCGGGGAGGCTGGGCTGCCCACTCGCGCCTTCGCCCACCCTCCTCCTGCTCCCGGCTTCTGCCTTGCTGCCTATTTGGGAGTCCCCGAGTTTACAAACATCCGACTTACAAACGACTCCTAGGATTCTCAGTTCTTGTGGGTTTTTTCGGGCTATATGGCCATGTTCTAGAGGCATTTCTCCTGACGTTACGCCTGCATCTATGGCAAGCATCCTCAGAGGTGAGGTCTGCTGGAAATGGAAAAAAAGGGGGGGTTGTCCACAAACATGTGGACAATTTCAACAGAAAGGAAGAAACCATGAAAATGAACAAAATCTGGCTACCAGTATTAAAAAATTCTAAAATTGCAACAGCAAAACAGCAGGGAGAAAAACAGGCAGGGACATCTAATCACCTTTCAAGAAGAGTTTGCTCCAGGCACAGTCAGCCCATTGTATGCTAATCAAGGTGGTCAGTTGAAAGATTCACACCTAGCCCAACTTACAAAAGCCCTTTGTCTCACCCTGGTCATTCCACAGATATATAAACCCCCTTTTCCCAGTTCCAGCAGACCTCACCTCTGAGGATGCTTGCCATAGATGCAGGCGAAACGTCAGGAGAAATGCCTCTAGAACATGGCCATATAGCCCGAAAAAACCCACAAGAACTGAGTGATTCCAGCCATGAAAGCCTTGGACAAGACTCCAAAGATTTTTTTTATTGTTTTATTGGTTTTTCCCACTCCCACCCTCCCCTCCTTGTACATCAAACTACAGAGGTTACTCAGTTCTTGTGGGTTTTTTCGGGCTATAGGCCATGTTCTAGAGGCATTTCTCCTGACGTTTCGCCTGCATCTATGGCAAGCATCCTCAGAGGTAGTGAGGTCTGTTGGAATTAGGACAATGGGTCTATATATCTGTGGAATGGCTGGGGTGGGGCAAAGAGCTCTTCTCTGCTAGAGCTAGGTGTGGCATGTAGCCGGGGGGGGGGGGGGGGGGCTTCAGCCCCCCCCGAAATTCTGATGGTGGTTCGCGAAAAGGCCTTACTGGTGCATTATTTAAACTGTTATGTTTATTCATATCATGATCTGATCACATACTCAATATATCCCATATGCATGGGGGTATTGGGGTAACGATACAAAAGGTTTGCTTGGGTAGACCCTCTTTCACTCAGACTCAGCCCCCCCCCACCCTGAAACTCAGCCCCCCCCCCCCCGCCAAAATAGTACCTATTGATCGACTCACATTTGCATGTTTTCGAACTGCTAGGTTGGCAGAAGCTAGGGCTGACAGCGGAAGCTCACGCCGCTCCCCGGAATCGAACCTGCGACCTTTCGATCAACAAGCTCAGCAGCTCAGTGCTTTAAACCACTGCACCACCGGGGGCTCTCAGACATCAAACTACAGAAGTTACATTTGAAATATCAGTCTCAGTCTTAATTTTTCTACTCCACATCTTAACACATTCTCTAAATAATTCCTAACTGGTTCCCACATCATCTTAGTTATTGTAACCTTTTCAATTTTATCTATATTATTCCATTTGCAATTTGTTATTTCCACATTTAACATATTAACATATTAGTCGAAGGCTTTCATGGCCGGAATCACTGGGTTGTTGTAGGTTTTTCCGGGCTATATGGCCATGTTCTAGAGGCATTTCTCCTGACGTTTCGCCTGCATCTATGGCAAGCATCCTCTTGAGAACAAGCCACGAGAGTAAGAGCCGTAGCAAACTAGGATTTTGCGAGCGCAAACTAAGCCAGCACGAGCGATGCTCCGCCTCTTTCTCCACCTATTTCCCTTTGCTAGGGCAGCGTTGCGAGCATACGCTCGTGCCGCAGCAAACTACAGGAAGCTTGCGCTCGGGCTTGCTCCGAAGCCCCGCCTTCCCCCCCCCCCGAGGCTGCTCTCTCTCTTGCTAGCGTGCCTGTTTTCCATTGCAGAGGGCAGGGATGCGAGCGTACACTCACAGTTGAATTCTGCCAACTGCGAGAGTACACTCGCATCGCTTCCCTAGCAAGGGAAAACAGGCACACTAGCAAGAGAGAGAGCAGCCTCGGGGGGAAAAAGGCGGGGCTTCGGAGCGAGCTCGAGCACAAGCTCGCTCTCGCTTCCAGTAGTTTGCTATGGCTCTAAGACCCGTCGCAAACTAGGCTCCTGCGGGAGCAAACCTTGCCAGCACGTCCCTGACGTCATGAGACTCCGCCCCTCGCCCCGCCCCTTTCTCCGCCCCTTTCTCCGTGCCAGCGTGGTTTTTCCTTTGCTAGGGCAGCATTGCCAGCGTACTCTCTCAGTTGGCAGAATTCAACTGAGAGAGAACGCTGGTAATGCTGCCCTAGCAAAGGAAAAACCAGTGGTTTTCTTCTCTAGCACGGAGAAAGGGGCGGAGAAAGGGGCGGAGAGAGAGGCACAGTCTCATGACGTCAGGGACGTGCTGGCAAGGTTTGCTCCCGCAGGAGCCTAGTTTGCGGCGGCTCTAAAGATGAAGATCCACCCAGAGGAAAAGTGTTCCTGCCATACATCAAGGGAACCACTGACCGCATAGGGAAGCTGATGAGGAAACACAACATACAAACAATCTACAAACCCACCAAGAAAATCCAACAAATGCTACATTCAGCAAAGGACAAGAGGGATCCTCTCACCTCTGCAGGAGTCTACCTTATACCATGCAGCTGTGGACAAGTCTACATAGGGACCACCAAACGCAGCGCCCAAACACGAATCAAGGAACATGAAAGGCACTGCAGACTACTTCAACCAGAGAAGTCAGCCATAGCAGAGCACCTGATGAACCAACCTGGACACAGCATATTATTTGAGAACACAGAAATGCTGGACCACTCCAACAACCACCATGTCAGACTACACAGAGAAGCCATTGAAATCCACAAGCATGTGGACAATTTCAACAGAAAGGAGGAAACCATGAAAATGAACAAAATCTGGCTACCAGTATTAAAAAACTCTAAAATTAAACCAGCAAAACAGCAGAGGGAAAACAATCAGGGACATCTTAACACCTCTCAACAAGAGATTTTCCCAGGCTCAGCCAGGCCTTCAAATGCTAATGAAGGTGGTCAGTTGAAACATTCACACCTAGCCCCAGCAGAGAAAAGCTCTTTGCCCCACCCCAGCCATTCCACAGATATATAAACCCATTGTCCTAATTCCAACAGACCTCACTACCTCTGAGGATGCTTGCCATAGATGCAGGCGAAACGTCAGGAGAAATGCCTCTAGAATATGGCTCTATAGCCCAAAAAAACCCCCAAGAACCTATTAACTATATAGTTATACCAATTAATCAGTGTCCACTTTGTTTTGTCTTTCCAACCCCTCACTAAAACAATTTGTGCACACGCTATTAATTTGTCAACCAATTTTTCCTTTTGTATATTCTTCACTCCTGTTATCCGTGCATGTAGTACATTTCTATTAATTACTAGTAGTCCCCTGCCATGCGTTGCTGTGGCCCAGTCTTGTGATCTGGAAAATAAAGTAATGAGAAAGTGTTGCTTTCTAATATATGTAATTTCTTTCTGCTTGTGGGTAAACAGTATTTCTTGCTGTTTCTTTGTCAGTGTTGATGTGGAGAGTGTCTGGTTTGCCTACTCTGGAACACTAAACATATTGTCCTTCTTTAGGGGTCCCTTTCAAATCTTTAATACTGCATCTGTCATATACATATATGTGTGAATGGCTGGATGGCCCTTTGTCAGGAGGGCTTTATGTTTTCTTGCCCTGGTGAAGGGAGTTGGACTGGCAGCATTTGTCAACCTGGGAAGTCAAGACCCGGGGGGGGGGGGTCCTCACCAGGGGGTGTCAGAAGGGTCTCCAAAGACCACCAGAAAACACAGTATTTTCTGTTGGTCATGAGGGTTCAGTATGGGAAGTTTGCCCCAATTCTGTCGTTGGTGAGGTTCTGAATGCTCCTTGATTGTAGGGGAACTATAAATCCCAGTAATGACAACTCCCAAATGTCAAGGTCTATTTCCCCCAAACTCCATCTGTGTTTATATTTGGGCATATTGAGTATTTGTGCCAAGTTTGGTCCAGATCCTCCATTGTTTGAGTCCACAGTGTTCTCTAGATGTAGGTGAACTACAACTCCCAAACTCAAGGTCAATGCCCACCAAACCCTTATAGTGTTTTCTGTTGGTCATGGGAGTACTGTGTGCCAAGTTTGGTTCAATTCCATCGTTAGTGGAGTCCAGAATGCTCTTTGATTGTAGGTGAACTATAAATCCCAGCAACTACAACTCCCAAATGACAAAAATCATAATTTTTGAGTGATGGTCACTCCTTGTGTTGTGAGACGTTTTGTTACCAAATTTGGTGTGCTTTCGTTCATTGGTTCTTTTGTTTTTAAGGCACTCATTATGCACAGAGCATTTATATATATATAGATTACTTTTTGTAAATTTAACATTCTATTGATTTCCCCTTCAATCCTTTTCCAGTTTTCTTGCACTTGATCACATTCCCATATCATATGATTAAACACCCCTCTTTGTTCACAGCCATACCAACACCTATCCTTTATCCCTGGTACAAAGTGTGAAAGTTGTGTAGGAGTTCTGTATCATTTTTGTAACATTTTCCTTCTTGCTTCCCTTAATACATTATACTTTTCTTTTGCTATATTACTTATTTCCCTTTGGATGTCTTCCCTTTCAATTTCCATGTCCATTCTCCATGTTTGGAAAATTTCCTCTATTATTTCTTCTTTTACTGTTATGATTTGGTTGTACAGTTCTCCTGCCACTTTCTTCTCCCCTCTCAAACATTTCCTA